CATATACTTGTCGCTGGCCAAATGTGAAAACATCTCCAAATTTCTACAAGAAGGCATTCCCAATTTACTAATTTACACAATTTAAATATTAATGTGTTGCCACTTTGTGAATGCTGCTGCACTTCTTTTTCCAATACATTTAAAATTTCAATTGCTCCTTCAAAATCCTTAGACATTACTAATTCTCTACTTTTTGCTAATAATACATATGAATAATCTTGAAGAAAACCTCTAGGTAGAGATATTACAACACTTTGTAATGGAATAGGTAATTCCCAACAACTATTTACATGCCATAGTGGTTTCATTCGATGTTTGCCATCTAGATGTATCAATGTTTCGTGAATTTCATTAGTATCGTATGATTGTATTAATTTTTGTTCTAACCCAAATATCTCTAGTCTTGAGTTTTCTGTAATACAAATAATTTATTAATATACACTTAATAAAATGATTAATATTTTATGCTATAATTAATATTTAACGTATACTGACGAGTATATGTTGTTAATGGAATACCCCAATCATTTTTTAATAATAAATCCGGTATTTCAAGTTCTTCAACAGAGGCTGATTTTCTAATTTCATCCAATTCATTTTCATTAAATAATGTCATATATAATGGATTACTAAGTATTTTAGAAGCAAACCTATCAATATAACTTGTATGTACAAAATAAAGAAGATAGTGAGAAATATGTTTTTTGTCTGTAGCACTAGCTTGTTTTAGAACGTTTTCAAGAGCCTAAAAAAGTTTTTATATTTAATATGGACTATAAAATAACAAATAATTTAAGACAATAGAAAAATTATCCTACTGAAAAAAATACATCAATTCCTTTGCTACCAGCTGCTTGTATTTCTGTTACATAATCGCCAAGAATTATATTACCATCTAAAATTTTTCTAACTAAATTTAAACACTGAATTTGAAGCAAAAGATCACGAGCTACAACAATTTTTCTATTAACAGATCCTCCTTGCACATCAAGTTCCAAATTATCTCTATAAACTTGAGGAATTTCTCTTGAAATATTGTCTGCTTGTAGAATCTGCAATATATTCTAAATAATCATTATTAGCATATTGTATAAAACTCAACTTCTTAAATTACATTCAGATACATACAGTGTATTGATCTTTAATTGATGCTTGCAATTGCTGAGTAAGACTGGAAGTAACTTCTTCTACAGGTACTTCACAGGCTAAGCAACAACCATCTAGATATTCTTTCTGAACTTTGCAATATAACTTTTCTTCTGAAATACTTAAATTATAAAATAGTTCTTTGGCTTGTAAAATATGACGCTTTGCTTCTTTGTATTCTTCTTTTAACAAATGAAGTCTTGCTAAATCATAATGTATCTAAAAATGTTAAAATAATTAACAAAATGCAAAAAATATTGTATAATAATAATAAAAATATCACACCTGGCATTTAAATTCTTCTAAATTTATAGAATACATATTTTCCCAATTTTGTTTAATCTCTGTACTATCTTCAGATAACATTTGAAAAGTATCAAACGATAACATTTTTGGATTTATATCTTTACTTTCCAGAACATTATTCAGAACATTTATACTATTAGATACTTGAGTTTCTAACTTTCTAATTATATCATCTACTACTCCAGGAGGTACATATGTTGACTCTTGTATACCTGGACTGTCATATACAGTGAATTAAAAACAAAATTATGCAAAAGATAATTAGTAATTATGCAAAAGATATTTACATATGAAGAAATTGTTGTTTTGACTGTTTGTTATTTAAAGCTTTATAAAGAATTGCTCTTATATGCCATCTATGATATAAAACAATTGTAAATAGCAACTGATCAGACATTGGATGCATCGTAAATTCAGGTATAGCTGGTATTTCAACAGTTAAATCTGATGTTATATAAAGAAGATCTTGGAGCAATGTTAACTGTATTGGTAGTGGTAATTTCTTTTCTAATATATCCAAATCCCATTTTAAATGAGCTGCTACTTTCAAAGAAAGAATTTTCAAAGCAAGATTTCTATGAGTCCATTTAACTGCAGTGTTAGGTTTTGTATCATTAGATTCTGAATCAACAATTTTCACTTCATTCTCCTTTTGATCTGAATTTATTGTCATAAACTTGATTATTAAGTCCGTAGCTGAGGGATCTAAAATAATTTCATGACAGTGTAATTAACATAATAATTTTATTAATCATTTTATTTTATTTGTGTCAAATAGCTGAGGTTAAATTATTTACCAGGAAAGGGTTTAGATAAATGTTGTTGTAACAAGGATGGATTTAATAAAAATTCAAACCAAAGAATTGTGTCAGGAGATATTGGTACAGTGCCTGGTCTCAATAAATCCACATCCATCATCGCATTATTTTCAACTTAACAACATTTAAGACTGGGAGAATCGTGTTGTAACAGTAGTCGTAATAATATTTTCATCCACTTTTTGAAGCTTAGTTTGAAAATGATCTTAGATGTCACATGTCGCTAAAGTAATGTGTAGCCAGTTCATGAACAAACACATAGATGTCACGTATAAAAGGCGCGTCATTCCAATAAATGTTTGATCAATTGATACACAGCTTTGCATATCTTCCATATATTACTTGAATAAAATTTTACGATCATGGTGAGATTAACTGCCGAATATATTGAAAAGAAATGTTCACAAATGCAGTTAAATAAATCTCTTAGTAAGAAATTAAAACAAGACGAATTATATAGCTTAACTACTTTACGTATGAACAGTATGTTTATCAGCAGCATCGTAAGTTACTTTTATTGAAATAATAGTTAATAATAGTAATTTTAAAGTTAATAATAGTAATTTTATTGAAATAATAGTTAATAATAATAAAATAAGTGTTAAGTACAATCTACGCATATGATCATATTGTTACAGGGTAATTTTGTCAATTACAAAAATCTTCAAGTAATATACTTGCAAAATAACAACATTGCGATAATAGAAAATTTGCATTTTGCATCAAATCTAACGCATTTATACTTGCAGCATAACGAAATAAGTAAAATAGAAAATTTAAATTTTCTTGAAAAATTACAAACACTTTATTTAGGGTATAACAAAATATTAGTGGTGGAAGGTCTTGAATGTTTAAGAAATTTAACCACTTTATATATAGAAAATCAAAAATTACCTACTGGAGAGTCACTATGCTTCGATCCGCGGAGTATATTTACTTTATCTGTAAGTATATTTACTTTATCAGACTTAAGTTATCATTATATTTTACCTATATTTTTTTTTATATAATGTTTTTTTCAGACTTGTTTGAAAATACTCAATATTTCTGGTAACAAAATGACATCTCTAAAAAACATTGAAAAATTGCATAGATTAGAAGTTTTAGATGTTGCAAATAATTTTATTGACGATATTAACGATTTAACAGAAAGTATAAGTGCCTTAACTTCTTTAACAGATCTGTCGTTACAAGGCAATCCTGTAACTCAATATCATAGGTACAGAGAAAATCTTATTGCAAATAATGACACTCTAAGTATGTTCGTTTATTTGAATTTTTTCTCCTTAGCATTTATATTTTATTCTAACTAGTATTAACTTGCAGAAACTCTTGATGGAAAAACGGTGACAGATATATGTAGATGTTTCATGAAAAGATTCAAGATAAAGAAACATCTCCATCACACCAAAAAATCATTGAGTACTACATTAGATGAAGATATTACAAGTACGATTATTGATCATTTTTTTCATAATAAGCATAAGCCTTTAATGAAATTCTGTACATTACAGGTTCGTTAAATCTACCGCCTTCATTGAAAGAATCAATATCCAGAGCAATATTTCAACATCCTGATCCAAAATTATCTACAACATCTACGATTAATGAAACGCAATCGTACATATTTCCATCATGGAAAATAGGTAACAATACAAAAAGCTATTTAAATGATTCTTAATATACCTAAAAATATTATTAATAATTAATCAATTTTTATAACATCTCAGGTATAAATATTGTAAAGAATGGTCATATAATTCCGAAACCATTCTGGAGTAATGTGAAAACTAATAACTTTCCTAACGTATGACCTGTGTTAAACAATGAAAAATTCCATTTTTGAGGCACCTATTAATATATCACTGGCATGATAGAGTACGTACAAGAAAACAAATTTTTTAGATGAGAGGTATTCTTCTTATTTATTATTTTTTTTTTTAGAAAATTATTTATAATTCATTATATGTTTCTCATTTTCGTTTAATTTTTGTAATAATTATGTACTAAATAATTTCTATATGAACCGTTAATTATTGCCTGCATGCTGGAAAGTCGTGTATGAGATAAAAATAAAATCTATGATCAAATTGCGCTGAAAAAAAAGAATGTATGGCAAATTATCGTAAGAAGCTGGCAATAAATTAATTACAATTATTTTGTACAACTTTCTAGCACTAAGGCGACATTATGTGCATTAAAGTAACATTTTCATAAATAAAATAAAGTACATTATGAAATTCATGCGTGTCAAACAATTATACAATTTAATAGTAACAAAACGTGCACAGTTAAACAGTTATGACGTTCTTACACATAAAATACTATTATATAATTATATTATAGAACTATAATATTAAGTATATAATATTATAATTATCATGTTATCACTAAATGAACGACAGAAGTATTAAAGTACAAAATACTATTAACTACATTTGTACACTGCTTGAAGATTTGTATTTTTAAAGCTTAATTTTGTATTTTAACTGAAAAACACAAGAAGCACACAAATTGAATGTAATAAAAAATTTCTTATCCTCTGCATTGTATCATTATGTAACAATTTCTTCAAGCAGAGCTAATATAAAACTGTGATAAATATAATTGTATGAATAAACGAGTTAAAATAAGTTTTAAATGACACAGGCATTTATGATACATATTTGTTAGTCACTATAAGCATGGAATGTTAGATACAATAAAAACAAATATATAAATTATGGAATTACATGGTGTAAAAGGTACAAGTAGAAAATCAATTTCTTCTTTAACATAATTTTACTGCTTTTTATAATATCGAAACATAAAAATCAATCTAAGAAATTTCTAAAATTGCTCATAAATAAAAAAGTAAGAACTAATACGGGTTGAGCATATTTGAAATATAAACTAATACTATGAAATAAAATAGGATTAATGTCAATATATTTTATAAAATTCGAACAATTCATTAGCTGCCAGCGTATAACAAAATCTAATATATAAGACAAAATGCAATTCGCACGTAGACGGTCTATGATTATCCTTTGTTCTACAGAAATTTTAATATTTTTTATTTGTGTATATAAAATGACAATACAATACAATAATACTGCAACATTGACAAATTTCACAATCGCTAAGAAAAGATATAACAAATGTAAATAACTACAAAACTAATATATACGTAAATATCTTTTTCGCTTCGTGATGTATTATGTAAAAAGTAGAAAAGTAAAAAAGATTCTTCATCGTTAACACATGAAACATATTGTTTAGTATCATAAAATAAATGCTTTGTGCAAACTGCAAGCGTAGTATATAGTAGTTTTAACTAACATTTGAAAGAACAAAGGTATAAACAAGCCTCCTACAGTGTGATATGCATATTTTAATGTTGCTTCACAATTGCCGCTTGTGTATATATATGTATATATATATCTGTGTATATGTATATATTATTCACACATAAATATATAAAGCAGCGATATTAATATTTATAACTTTATATATTTATATAGTTTATTTTTGCAAAGTATAACTTGCATCTTAATAATTTTATTTTAAATTCAGATTATCAGCCTTTCCTTGTTCTTAGCAATATCTCTGTGTTCATACAAAAATTAAATAACCTATTAAACAAATAAAATCTTATATGAACTTGTAGTCTTAAAACTACAAAAGTTATAGCTAAATTTAGACATATACGCTGACCAATGCATCATAGCTCTTGGTATGAATTACATACATATAACTTTACCTTAATATTACTAATAAACCTTATTATCTTTAAAGTATATTTTGAAAATCTACATAGTTTCCAAATGTATATTTTTAAATTATTAAATAAAAGACGTATAGCAATGTTAACAATTTTATTTCAATTTACATTGCTGGATAATACTATAAGTTATAGGAAACTTTGTAGATTTTTATTTTCTTTCCCAATTAACCGTAAATGTTATGTGTACATGTACATATATGTGTATATATATGTATATGTATATATTTTAATGTATATATTAATATTTCATAGTTAAAGAACTCTGACTTTGTCACAAAATAAACATTATGTACTTTGAAAATACTCTGAAAAAAGTATGTCACAAATAATTAATCTATACAAAAGAATTATTGCAGAAAAGCTATATTTAAATCGTACGAAGCCTTATAAAAAAATTTTATGTTTTTCACTTAGATATTATAAGTCTTCCACTGTTAGTTTCTATATATTTTTCTTCGAGTGACTTGTATATATATATATATTAATAAAAATTATATATATATAATATTATATATTGTTCATATAATTTAAATGCATATTAATGGATAGTTACATATGTTTGACTTGTTAAAATGTTTTTTAAGATGTTTTTAATTGTTTTTTATTACATTAGGCTCAGAGACGAAGTCTTAAAAATAGAAATTTAAGTTATAACAAAAAACCTGCCAAAAATTTAAAATTTAAAAAAAATTTTGTTGAACAAGTCTTGAATATTGTTTAAATGAATTTTTACGAATGAATTTTTAATATGCTTTTTATGTGAAATGTCACGAATATCATGACTTTATTTGCTGTGAAACGATGACGTAAAATAGGGCACTCTGTCATATTTTTATAATTACAAACAAATTAGCTTTTGTTACATACATACATACATAACTATGTATACATAATATGTCTAATATATATTTCTGCCTCTATGTATGTAAATAATACATACTTCGAATATGAACACTGTCGTTTATGGTACAAAGTACCATGACATTTTTTTATAGTAACTTGATTTTAATCAAGTTCAAGCTCGTAGCATTGGGCAATATTTGTTATAAGAAATGTCTTCAAATATAACAAATGCTTCTGATTAGCCCTTTACATAGAAAAATGCAAAACTGAGTCAAATCATTTGCTATCCATTATTAAAATATATAGGATGTTTCGAATTCTATAATACAACCAGAAAGGAATAAAATTTTTTCATTCCAGGCTTTATTCTCAAGAAAACTAGGTTTGAAAATTTATCAAGTACATTTAAATTTGTCTAAACTACATAGAGTAAATAAATAGTGAATCTGCGAAAATAAATTTTTTCTGTTTATTACCTTGTGGTAAGAAGAAAAAAATAAACTTTTATGTTTAGTTAAGAATTGATTTAGTAAATATATATTTAAAATTGAATTTTTTCCAAAATGAAGGACTGTATTACCCTTATATAAGGGTATACGAAAAAATTGTATTCTATATTTTTAACTTATTTTCGCAAGTAGAATAATATCCTATTCATTATTCTGATCAATCCAAAATTAATTAAAAAGTATAGTTGATAGATTTTCAAACTCGATTTTCTCGAAAATGTAGCTTTAAATGAAAAATTTCGTTTTTTCTTAACTTATTTTTTAAAATCACTCTTTCTGATTATGCCATCGAATCGGAAACATCCTATACCAATTTAATTTTTTATTTTATCTTTTTTTTAGAATTACGAGCATTATATTTTTTAGACAAAGAGTGCCCTTTATCTCTTATAAGGGTAATTTTTAATTAATTACAAATTACTGCGCTGTTTGCTGTTGAATTTCTATCTTTTCTACTGTCATATCAGGATTCATTGCTGTTGCTTCTTGAATTGCTTCTGCTAAAGCTCGATCATGATCAATCGGATCGCCATCTGATTGTATCGTGATTTTTTGTTCTACGCGAGTTTCTACAACTCCATCTCTTTCAGTTTTATACTAAAAATATATTTATATTAAAAATATAATAATATATTTATACTAAAAATATAATAATACATATATATATATCAACACATTGTATTAACAATTACATTAAACATCCAAATCTTACCGTTATCGTTTCAACAGTGCGAGTTTTACTGGATATTGTTTGAGAACTAACTATTTCCCCAGTTGCACTGTACATACCATCTTCACTTTCAACAGCTACCTTCCTAGTTTCAGTTGCTGTTAGTGGCACTGTAGTAGTTGTTGTTACATTATTTTCTGGTTCTCCTTTGTAAACATGTGTCTCAGTTTCAACAACACCGGCTGGATCACCCTGAATAAAATTTATAAAATGATATTTCTAGTCTAAGAAAGAGAAGTTCAAAATAATATACTGAATTGGTACTGTACAGTTATATTAATATGTTACAAGTACAAATAATACCAAAGCATTATTAAAATGTAGGCATTATGTTATTTTTACCGATTAATGATTAATACCTTATAACCAGTATTTTATCTTTGAAATAACAAATAAATTAAGTTTTCTACTATGATTTTATGAATGTCATTTTTGTATTCCCATGAATATCAACAAATGATTAAAGTACAGATGTACCTGGGGTAACTTAAATATACAGTTTACATGAAAAATTTAGCATTAATATAGCTTACTAATTAGTCTAAGAGTTTCTATTTATTATAAGAATATTTCCTGTACAACATGTATAAACATAAACATATTTAAACATGTACCTTTGTGAAGATTCATCCCCAGAACTAAATTCTCTAAATTGACAAAATCTTGTTTCTAAAAGAATATAACTTTTTAATGATTATATCAATCCTAAAAATTTACCTGATAATACTGATTGCAGAATGCCTGTTGATCATCTTCAAGGTCAATTGGAGTACCTGAATCATCACTGCTTGAACTGGATGTACTGAGCCTTCGTGAGAACAGCTACACCATGCAATGTGTTAACCAAGCCGGCAAAATTAATTACAAAAATAAAAAAATAATTAAATAAAAAATGGCTCTTGTTAAACTTTGATTAATCAACCAACATCCTGTATGAGTTAAATATTATTGATATACTAAATTTATGATTCCTTTGTTTAGATATACGATACTGTGATATGTATATTGAATGTGCACATGATACATTTTATTTATTCATATATTATACAAAATTAATATTATACATTTGAAATTAAAACCAAAAGCTTTATTATTACCCAAATTTCCATAAATATTAAAAAAAAATTTTGAAATATGTGCGATGACCATATTACTAGCATGAAACATATTCTAAAACTTAATGTTAGGATCAACCAAAATGGTATGTGATCATTTACATAAATGTTTACATGCTTCATCCATTAGTGGTGAGCTTGATATTTAATCAGCAATTTAATAAGCTGTTAATAAATCATTACCTGCTCGCCAGAAAGTACATGACTTGTTGTTCGAACTTCTTGAGTTACTACTCTCTGTTCTTGTCTTGTTGCACTGGTTGCTGTTGTATGTGCTACAGTTTTTTCTTCTACCTAATATAAAAAAAAAATATAAAAAAATAGTTCTAGCTTTATAGAAAAGTACATTATAGAATTATATAAAAAAGTTCAAAATATTTGCATATTATATGTAAAATAGAATTCCAATCAAAAAAGCGACTGATTTGAAATTCTTTAAGGACGTGAATATTTACAAACCTGACTGGTTTTCTGATTTTTTTCAAGATCTTCATGCATTGTAGCAGTACGTGTAGTGACAGCAGTTGCTGTCATGTATGGAGCTCTACCATCATCTGATGTCTCTGCCTAAATACAACTACAAGGTAACTAATGTCTCATAATAAAGCAGCCACATGTATGTGCATATACAATTGTAATAAATAAAATATTAATAAGTTATGTTTTATATCTTGGATTCAAAAATTTCTTTGTTCAGAAATTATATTTGCTACTTATATTAATGCAATCCTTAGATTTATGCTATTTATATCAATACATTTCTTACATGCAATGCTCAAATACTCAATACCTGAGACTTGTACAATAATGTCTATAATCTATAAGACTACTCACAATTCATTATAATAAATATCATTCAAATATTATTCAATAAGCTGGGATCAAAAGAAATTTGTTTAAAGGATATAAATACTGCAAATTGTTTAAAAATATAAGGATCTAAACAAAAAGTATCAAAAAGAAAAAGAAAAGAAAAAGAATTTTAAAAAATTAATAAATCAGGAAGTTACTTCAGTTTAAAATTTTTTGACAGTGTTTTCCTCCGTTATACATCTTAATATCTTGGATAGTTTCAAAAGTCGTATCACCTTATTAATTTGTGTAGAAACAGTTACTTGGCCTGTGCCTCCAGGTGTAAGATCTTCAACTTTCTCTTCAATATTTTGTGTCACACCTTCTTGATCCTTTACTACTGATTGTTTAGTGGTGGTTTTCACTATTGTTGGGGTAGTGCTTGAAGTTAAAATTTTCTTCGTTTTTGAAGAAAGTGGTTTTATTACATCCCGTATATCCTTTAAAATAGTATAGTATAATGTAAAACTAGAAAAATCAGTAGATAAAAGTGACACAGAAGAATCTATGCCAGAGAAATAAATAAATAAACTAATTCTTGAGAATAAAGTTTGAGAGAGACGAAAAATATTTCAAAATCGCTACGATTACTAAATTCATTATTATAGAGAATTTATTATTATAGAGAAATAGACACTTCTTCTAATTAAGAAGCACTATTTAGACTTTTACATAAAATAGCTAGTAACTATTATAAATCAAAGAGTTATAAATTTAATTCTTAATTAGGTACTTTATAAAGAAAAAAAGCATTTTAAAAATCAACAGAAAAGAAAAATCCAACAAATAGAAAACTAAGTCTTTCCTTGAATTAACAACTTCTGGTCTCAATTATGCACTATCTATAGAATTAAATATTTATTATTGTTGAACAATAGAAAAATTTAATTATTTCCAAGCGTTGTTTATTACTACTACTTTTATCCAGTTCAAAAACATGAGTTATTTATTCCAAAAATGGTAAATTATTTCAGATTAAAAAATTAATAGTAACATAATTATAACTAAAAATAGTAAACTTGTGAATTAGGAAATTTGAGAGGAATTGCATACAAAGATATTTCATCAAAGTTTAGTATCATATATAGCTCATATATAGCTCTAATATTCACTCAAATACTTAACATTTGGTGGAAATACATACTAGTGAAAGAAGGAAAAATTGTAGGGAAAAATGGAACAGCAGTACAATATAGCAAAAATTTGATATTCTAAATTACTTATGCAAGTATCATACAGTGCAAATAACAACTACATATACATATAAAATCTTATTCATCTGAATCCTTTAGGGGACTGATAGTTCATATAATTAAATTGTTTATTATTACATATTAAAACTTCATTTACTGAAATTAAATTATAGTTGACGTCAGAATGTTGTATATTAGTTTATCAAAAATACAAAATCATTTAAACATTTTGCAATTATTTTTATGGCAGCCAATATATCAACTCTTCGCGGGCAAAAACCGATATATGGGCTACCTGAAGCGCGGAAACTCATATATCGCGGCCTGCGAAGGGTTAATTAAGCATTTAGTTTATTAGTTTAGTTACGTGAATTATTTTCAAATATTACTCTAATTATATAAACATTTATAATAACTAGAATGCAAAATATTAAATGATTAAATAAAATACAATCATGCTTTGTAATCAATTACAAACAGAATTTCTTTATACAAGAATAGGAGTGATAGAAATAAAACCAATGTGACAAAGTATGAACCATATGTGACAATAAATGATAAATATAAAAATAACAAGATCAACTATAAAGACCTATATTTCAGAATCTACAATTTATTTATGATTTTCACAGAAACACACAAAGAAAGGGAAAATGGAAGAAAAAACATAAAACTATAATAATTTGCAATAAATGCATTTCATTACATTGGAAAATTTCATACATTGGAAATATGATGAAATGCAATATTTAAAAAATTTAAAGGAACTCGTTTTAGAAATCTTTAAGTGAACTTAATTAATTTTTTTGGTAATAAATAAAATATAAAAGCAAAAAAAAGGATGCATAAATTCACTTATTTGAACATGAACTGTGATTATTTGAATGAAAAATTATAGATAATAGGAAAAATCAAAAGGAGAATCATATTAGATGAATGATCCAGGTATATTGAACAGTTTGTCCCTTAACAAATTCAAATAAATGTAATTCTACGATACTTACCTTTATTTTGTCTTTCTTTTCTTTATCTTTTTTTTCTAACGATCCTTTATCTTTTTTCTCTGGAGATTCCTTGTTTTTCTTTTCTGATATTTCCTTATTTTTCTTTTCTAACGTTTCCTTATCCTTTTTTTCTGATATTCTCTTATCTTTTTTTTCTGATGTCTCCTTGTCTTTTTTTTCTAGTGTTTCTTTATCTTTCTTTTCTGTAGCCTTGTCTTTCTTTTCTGATATTTCTTTTTCTTTCTTTCCTGATATTTCTTTTTCTTTCTTTCCTGACATTTCCTTTTCTTTCTTTTCTGACATTTCCTTGTCTTTCTTTTCTGATGTTTCCTTGTCTTTCTTTTCTGACGTTTCCTTGTCTTTTTTTTCTAACATTTCCTTTTCTCTCTTTTTCAGCTCCTTTTTACTAAGTGGTTTTATTTCGTTGTTTTCCAGAACAGCACTCTTTTCCGCCATTTCTTTATCTTTCTTTTTTAAATCTCTTTTAGTAAGTGATTTTAATTCATCAATGAAAGCACTCCTTTCTGGCGTTTCTTTTTCTTTCTTTTTCAATTCTTTTTTATTGGATGACTTTATTTCATTCTTGTCAAAAATAGCACTTTTTTCTGGCGTTTCCTTATCTTTTTTTTTTAATTCTTTTTTAGTGGATGACTTCACGTCGTTGTTATCAATAATAGCACTTTCATTTATTAAATCAGAATTGTTGAGATCATTATGATTTTCCTTTTCGCTTTCATTTTGTTTATCCTTTTTCTTCTTAAATAGACCACCGGGCGGTAGGACAGCGATTCCTCCGACCGGTTTCTATAAGTAAATTTATAATCACACATCGCTTCATGCAATAAGCACGATTCAGCTCTATCGTTAAGCTATTATAAACTACATGTTTCACATTCTCTTAGCATATATTTCATGCTGGATAACTAATTACGGTCTGCGCTCTCAAAAAAATATCATTCATTAATTTGTTAGATAAACATACTTTCCTGAAGAATT